TATTTTTTTTTTTTACAGCAGCAGAGCCGCTAGCTGGGCGGAGCTAGCTGTCACTGCTAGCTCTGCACAATCGTTTTCTATTAACTTTTTTCTACTTTTTTCACTCTTTTTCTGTTCTGCTCGCTGCCTCTGAGGGACCGAGCAGAACAGCCGAGCCAAATGCCGCTCGGCGGCATTCGGCTATTCTCTCACTGCTGTTCGGGATCTTTCAGAATAGCCCGAACAGCAGTGTGAAGCCTGCCGGAGGTTCGGCTCAGCCGATCCAGATGTTGGATCGGCTGAGTCGAACTCCTTCTGCACTTCGGGTCAGCCGAACATTCTGAGCATGTTCGGCTGATCCGAAGCCACACGAAGCAAGCCGATGTACGGCTGATTTCAGCCGATATACGGCTGAAATCAGCCATACCAGCCTGAAGTGAATAGCCAAACAGTGTTCGGCTCACTTCACTTCTGATCGGTCATTCACTCGGCTGCCCTCAGCAGCTTTGTGAATAGACCCCAAAGTCTGTCCTAACAAAGGTTTCAAAATCTTGAGGCTCGGGTTTTGCATTGTATGTTAATAAGGGCAACTCAGTCTGTCCCCACTTTGTCCTCCTCTCCTTGCACTTTCAAAATATTTACAATAGCTTGCAGTCTGCCCAAAGGCCTGATCTAAAGGTAAGAAACATTTTTTTAAATTATTTTTATGTATGTTGGGTGAATAAGAACACATAACAAACATATTACAAACATATGGTGGAGTTTCTCAAATATGACTGCAAAAGTGGAAAAACACTTAAAGGATCTGATGCATCCAACATCCAAAAGGGCAGTATGTACTGTATGTTCTAGCATGCAAATTTGTGACAGATTCATCATTGCATGTGCAAAACAAGAATTGCACATACCATCTCTGCTGTCCATAGTGCTTGAAAAGGTAACATTTTGTTTCCAAACACAAACATTTAAAATATAGATATTTTTACATGTTTTAGGCCTGCTGGGTCTAGTCCTAGTGAGGATATATTAGCATGTATTCATGTTTTTACTTTTAATAAAATATCATATGTCATTGTTATTATTTATTAAACAAAGAAAATGTTTTAACATAAATTTAATTATTAAAGTATATCTATTTGTTTTGGATAAATTTGAGGAAAGGTAAAACTACAGCCAGTTTTTTCCATGTTTATCCTGTTAGAGAAAATTTTCCTTCATTTGTTGTCCTGTAGACTCAACAGAAAGTGAGATGATATCTTTTAATTGTAAAGAAAATCCCCTCTTGAACAGCAACAAGTGTCCCTCATGGATAACTGCCTCTCTATTCATGTACTGATAACAATTAAGTGAAGGCATGTGCGATAGATCAGTAAGAGAGTAAATCTCTCTAATGGGGACAAATTTAGCAATAGAAATCTGAAAGTGGTTCTATCTTCTCATCTGTCTAATCAAATCTAAAAAAAATGTTTTCCTTTAGTTATACTTTAAACCCCACCGGGCTTTCAAAGAGTAAACGAAATTGGTGCACATACATATAAAACCAATATAAAAAATGATATCAAATTCCATACAAGAGCAGATCCCAAACATCAACTTAAGTTCCAAAATTCAAAGGCAACAAAAATATACACATATAGGGACAATTAAGCCCCGGAGTGTTTTTAGGGCATTAAAATGACACTCAAAACAGGATAACCTGCCAATGCCTTTTGATGTGTGAGGCAAGATGGAGGGAACACAATGTGGTGACAAAAACATAATAAAGGGGAGGAAGATGTCATCTGAGAGAAAAAGGGTAAGGGGGAGCAGAAAGGAAAATAAATAATTAAGGAGATTGGGAAGAGGGAAAAAATCATGTAAGAAGGTGGGGGGACAAAGAAGAATCTTGGAAGAGAAATGAGAAAGGCAAAGGTAGCGGTCAAGTATGAGAGGGCTACAGTCAGCACAAAGGGGGGGTGGAATCAGACCCCACTGTCAAAAATTGGTCAATCTCCATGTAAAAGGGTGACTTTGCCTGTGAGCCATCCCATTACTGGCATAGAAATCATATCAATGTGAGTTTTGGTGGAAGGAGGTCTTTTCAGATCTAGTCAACTGCCTTATTGTTCGCAAAAGGGGGTTGAAGGTGAATAATTTGAATTGGATATGTATACAAAAAAAGGGCAGGTTGTTTTGGAGAGCTTAAGTTGGATCTTTACAGAATGGAATCCCCACCACTGTGTACAAAACTTGCTTTGCTTTCAGGCCATCCTACCATATGTGTAAGAATGACCCTTCTGTAGAGCAACCTTGGAAGCAGTGAGAAGGGTAGCCAGGGACAGATCAGGATATTCACAAAGTCCTGGGCCACAGAGTTATTCTGCAAGTGATTTTCAAAGTGGGTTAAGTCAATAGGGTCATCTGTAATGGGGGTTCACTATTGAAGAAAATGTTTAATCATATTGTATGCATCACCTGGCCAAAGTTGGTGGGAGGCTTGAAGAGTGTGAAAGGGTTTAGGAAGTGCTTCACTAAATAAAGCTTAGGTCTCATCCAAATGCATGTTTTGTGATCAGACAGGTGACTGTTGTATGGAGCTTTGGCCGTAACCAGGGGAGGTTATATTTTGAACCTGCTCGGTTGTTTTTATTAGGATCACAGCATGATCTCCACCTTCATTATTTATTTTCCCTTTTGCTCCCCCTTACCTTTTTTCTACCCGCATGACATCTTCCTCCCCTCTATTATCTCTTTTTTACTACATTGCCTCCCACATCAAAAGACACTGGCAGGATATTCTGTTTTCAGTACTATATTA